AGCTCCTGCCAACCTGGCAGTTTGAAAGCAAGAAATTGCAAGTAGATAAATAGGTACCGCTTTGGTGGGAAGGTAACAGCATTCCGTGCACCTCGGCATTTAGTCATGCTAGCCACATGACCACGGAGAAGTCTTCAGACAGTGCTGACTCTTTGGCTTGGAAATGGAGATGAGCACCACCCCCTAGAGTTGGATTTGATTGGCTTTTGAGCAAGGGAAATATTTCCCTATACTAGCATGTTTACCTATACCTATACTAGCATGTTGAAAAGCCGCCCTGAGCCCGTTCGCAGGGAGGGCGGGGTATAAATACAATAAAATAAATAAATAAAATAAATAAATAAATGATGATGAACAGTGTTTTGCGTTGTATTTATTAATGCTTATATTTTTATATTTATGGAATATGATTGTAACCTCTGCTTTCTTTCATGGCTTGACAATAAATATGATCTGAATGTTTATATTCTAAAATAATTGCAACTTTTCATTTTATTGCTTCCCTTTCCCCCCCATTTTTAGGACCAGGGGCTTACAATCCAGTTGTGAAGTCAGCTTCTTGTCTTACTTTATGGGTTTCTCGGATGGAGCGTTTCAGAGAGGCAAAGGATGAGACTCCTGGTCCTGGAGCATACCAGGTTTGTCGATATTTGATACTTGTTTTTCCACCGTGGAAGGGTACATTATTCTAGTGGGAGTGTCAGAACTTGTAATTACTTGGCTTGGTGTAAAAATGTCTCCTGCTTGTAATACTGGTCCGTATTATGGAATGAGCACAGTCTACCCGTCTCCTCCAAATTCCTTCAGCTTGGAATATAAACTTAGGTTCTGCCCATGTGGTCGTTAGTAAACCAGGTATCTAAAGACAGTTACAGATGTTTTTAAAAAAATTAAAACCCTTAAATCTTGATGAGACTCTAATTAATTGTGCATTATATGAGCAGACCATAGATTTTTGTTTGGTGATTAGCTTCCCTATTTGTAACATTGTTGTTGTATTCACCATATTGATCTAAAACAGATTCTTCTTTCTGTCTGTGGACGTGTGTATGTTGGGGGAGGGGGTGGCAGTTAAATTTCCATGTAGTTCTCTGTCATGGCTGCCGGTGCTGTAAGATTGGAACAGAGAATGTGAAACCAAAGTACAAGTCCCATGGGCACCATCATTATGAATCGGGAGGAAATTCTTGGGAAACGGAAAAATCTTTTAAAATCCAAAATGCTCACCAAAAATGCTTGTAAATAAAGATCAAGTCAGTTCTGAACAAAGATGAAGGGTAGTTTGCACTCATCTTTTCATATCACAGTTTCTGTAAGACAAGAAACATGGGTTGTAGGGACACAATCTGATACTTAGGTACTATCAAGTTTAAACATTTCTGCAGCTGGAAGCAAGATGTTGGTGCTTTCAGATGACAGTAAAATTGCTTTGGTATTTGGCTGGAGCAAAACAGGACTATTTCTGGTATGTTTTTTTTTTTTTAAATAGTCTCAGAATGTCCTAACATAACTGTTCTGATTGAGATGAACAAGACAGTTCAAATTTCTTAATAAGGCTTTCTTTCTTTTTTAGAATTTGAGCAGATCTCAGTTGCTTTGGGTTGGATCCAGCTGACTTTTTCACTCAAAGTTGCTGAAATTGTCTTTGTTAGCCCCTGTCTCACATCACTTTTGTCCACACAGATCCCTTGATCCCCAACACAGCCTTTGAGGGGGGGTCAAAGAGGATTCCTTTCTCCCTGTTTGACCAGTCACAAATCTGGTTGGATCCAACTCTTTGTTTGCACCTATTTAACGAATAAATACACATTCCATATGTTTGTAAGATGTGCATCCCCATTTCATAGCTGAGGAAACAGAGGTGCATGCTTTATGGATTTTCACATTTTATAATCCAATGTAAATAAATAATAATAAAAATAAATCTCTGGAATTTTCTGCCCAGAGAAGTTAGTCTTGCAGAGTTCTCTTCAGCTTTGGTAGGATGGAGATGTTTCTCTTCCAGAGTCTTTGGCTCTTCTGACCTTTTACCTTATGAGCCCTGTATAAACTTTGTATGGTTTGCTGTATTTGGATTTATGGTGGTTGGTTATGATTGATTGGTTAGTTTTATTATATATGACATCAAATTTTATTGTCGATGTCTTTGGCTGAAAAGTGTGACAGAAATATGATTTATTAATAAATGTACTTATTTATTGAAAATTAAGGCTGTATGTTTGACTGCAGGTGGTTGGTTATGATTGATTGGTTAGTTTGACATCAAATTTTATTGTCGGTGTCAATTAAGGCTGTATGTTTGACTGCGGCCCCTGTACCAGAGTGAGAATCATTAAGCCACAACTGCCTGTACCAGAGTGAGAATCATTAAGCCATGTTTGTGATTTCAAAATAAAAATCTGGGATGCACTGGGCTGAACTAGGATATGGTGAACTTCAGTCTCATCATGCTCTGACTGGACAAATAATTTATATGACCCAAAGGCACATCCCAATCAATAAGTAGTGAATCCACTACATCACGAAAATCGCCTTTTTTGTACTTCATCATGTTACTGCCCATCAGAAGGAAAGAAAGAAAAATCTGAAGAGTATAGAAGTTGTTTATAAGAGCATGTTTCTACCATGTCACTACCCTGAAACTTTATACTATCAAGGCTAAATTCCAGTGTCATCCACATGGGAGGAAAGCAGTTATTTCAAGCAACCTCTTGAACGGATTCCAAGTTCCATCCATCCAGCTGTCTGAGGAAAGACTATGATAGAATCTGCCCTATACATGACATGTTATCCTGATGCTGTAAATTGTCTTGAAGTCATCGATGCTGAAAAGGCGAGATAGTAATCTTTGAAATAAATAAAAATGTGTGCTGCTGCAGGGCTTAATTGTCCTGTCCCCAGGTCAACTAAGCTGCTCTAACTGCCTGATAAGTTGGTGCCAAAACTCAAAATATCCGCAGGGGTTACTTTCTAATACAGAGCTAGGAATTGCAGACAAAAGGAAAGCATAGAATACACAAAAAATTGCTTGTATATTCCCTCAAGCCTCCTTTTTGTCCTAGTTCAGGTCCGTGTGTTATGGTATACAGAAGTTATTTGTTTCAAGAATTAGTAACAGGGAACAAAGATGCCTTTTAGATTGAAGAACAAAGGAAACAATATTACACAGCTTTTTGGTGATAGTGCTTTGCCTGTGGAGGGTTCATTGCTTATAGAGTCTTCAGGTCTAGATGATTTCTGATCTTCCAGAAGTAGTTTGAGACTGCCTCATTCCAGTGGCCCTTCAGAGAATTACACACTGATTGGTTTGTATTTATTCTGTCTGTGATTTCTGTATGTGCCTCTTTTTATTTCAATTATATTTTGCAAGGACTCATCATAACAAACCCCGCCAGGGCCAACAGAAGGTAACAAGATGTTCCATGAATGAATTTTTCTGTGGTCTTATTTATTTTTAAAATGTTGCTGAGGCTATGATTTTATGGCTGCTGTAAGCCACCAGAATGGTCCCTTGTGGATGGAATTGATAATTTAATAAATAACATTTCCAACCTTATATTAGTCACATAGCCAAATTTCTGAATCATGTAGTATTCTACTCCCCTTTAAAAATATTAATTCTTTATACTTTCCTTCCAGTTTCAAGGCAATAAAGACCGATCTGTTTGCAAAAATTCAATGGCATAATTTATTCTTTATTTTACCAAAAATATGCGGATATGTTAACCCAAGCTGCAACAGTCAATTCAGATACAGTACATGCAAATTAATGCATCATTTAAAACAATTTTTATATGTTAGCCAATTTTATGACATTTCTGTCATGTTGAATGATAGTTTCTTCTTTAACTTGACAGGTAAAATTTGGTAGTATGACAAAATCTTTCTATTCCTCCTCTTTAGAATGCATTTTTTCTTTTATTTTTCTACCTTAGGAAATTTATTATTAACCTGATCCTTGGCCCACAGTAGGCTGTAATACTAGAACTTGCAAAATTAGAATAGCTGTGTATAGAAATATTTTCTCTATCATCTAAAACGTTGCTTACTGACTTATAGAAAGTAGATTATATTTTTCTTTCCAATCAAATACTATGTACATAGCCTAAACTCAAGTATCAAGTAGGGATCTTTTGAACTTTGTTCAAATATACCATGTCCTGCAACTGTGACCCCCTGTGAGTTGATCCTCAAATCTGTTTGCCTCATTGCCATCCACCACCAGTATCCACAGAATAGCTTTATGGCTGCACAGGAGCTTGTGGCATTTCACTTTCACTGCCTTCTGCCTTACAAGCAGCTTTCATATCTGTGCAGTAGGTGAAAACAGTTCTCCCCCAGGGTCATGAATGGTTGGGTCAGGTAATTAAATGAGGAGGGGGGATACTATAACTCCTTTAAGAATGTCTGGGAAAGCACATGCATAAAATAAACTCAACAGTACAGTGGGTTTAAACACCAAATGGTAAGACTTCTTTAAAAAGCAAACAAACTTATTTATAATTACAGGCCAGCAGATTAGTTTGTTCACTATTCATCCATATCAGAGATACTCAACTTTTTCGATCCTGCGGGCACTTTTGGAATGGCTGCCACAGGAGGTAAAGCTAACCACAACATGTCAGGGAGTCAGGTTACTCATAGCTCTAGTAGTAACTTTTCAGCATTTCAGTCAGAAGCTCTGTTTAGCAAGGTACCTTTTTAAGTGAACATATTGCTTTAAAATATTTTCTTGCAGACGTACAGGTTACCGTCAGTCCCTCAGTGAAGAACATTGTGGTGTGATGGCAGCTGCTGCCAAAGCAACTTTCTGAACAGCCAGTTAGAAACCAAGCTGGCAAAAGCCTCATCTGGCCCCATACACCTTCTAGAAGCACTTGCTGATCACCAGGAAAAATGTCAGGTGTCACGATGGGGACCCCTGGTTTATGTAATTAGATACTGAGTGGTGAGGAGTGAGATCATGTCTGTGGAAGAGGAGAGGAACTAAGACTGCATGAATGAACTACTATCAATTACACTGTATTTTTGAATACATGAAAAGTAACCCAGCAAATAGGCTCAAACTGCTCACAGATAGTCCATCAAAAACCCAGCTTTCTGGTCAAAACTGGTGAGCAGAAGTGAGCCAAAGCAGTTGGGCATTCATATATCCTTTGGAAAAAAGTAGTCCAAGTCTGGAGAAGCTTGATATTAATATTATAATGCATCACACATGTTTTTATTTAAAGGTGAATGTTAGTAGTATGAACCTGGTAGTCAAATAGCAACCTAAATGGGAGATGTGGAGTCATAAGCAGTGGCCTAGATTTCTTGTTGAGAATTTCGTTTAATGCTGTCACTCAGCACAGAGCTTCTGATTCATTGCAGTAGGTTTCAAATTCCTGTGACTGAAAGGTGAAACAGGGTCTTCATTCTTATTCATTCTCTTTGATCCTTGAGGACTTGTGTATGTTTATGAAAATGAGATGAATTGAGAATAACTTGAAAAGTGAAGGGCATGAGCTGGAATGCTCATGTTAAGTTTCATGGCTAGGCCATCTAGAGAACTGTGAAACTGACACTGTGTGTTTGTGACTTAAAAACATTAAAAGAATTCTGCTGAATCATATCACAGATCTATACCGTATCAACATTC